GTTAGGTTCCTAGACACCTTTCCCTCCACTAAACCAACAATGGAAGAAGCCGAGATTGTCATGGACCGCGTCAAGACCGCCCTGTTAAGTACTCCCAGTGTCAAATCCCAGGGGAAGTCGTTCAATGTCACTACACCCTTATCTCTCTCTATCATTCGCTTCAATGAAACACTCCTTAGTGACAAGACCAAGCCCTGGTACCGTCCCCTCCCATCTAACACTCCCTACGACTTCATCGAACATATGTTCTCGCACAAGATCTACCAGGTCTAAGCAACCAAGCAATAATTTTTTTGTCTTTTTTAATTTTTTTTGTGTCTTTTTTAATTTTTTTTTTGTCTTTATCCATTCCTCGTCCTCATCCAATAGACAGCCACAACACTCTCTCTTCATGGGACTCTAGACCCAAACAGTCAACGCGACGTCGAGGTACTCCTCAATTTCGTTCATAGCCTTCTTGAGTTCACGCGGGGGATAACCCTGCCCGTAGGTTTGAATCTGCTGATTCATCAAATCCAAGATCTCTCGGTAACAAACCCTCTTAACAACCTCGTTGCTTCCGTTTGCTGCATCAACAGCCTCCCAAAAGGTTCCAATCTGCTGAGAGTATACAAAAGCATCCCCAAGGCGCTGGAAATCCTGGACAGTCTTGTTGCCATCCCTTTCAGTGTAAGTTACACGTACAAACACCACAGCTGTCTGAGCCAGGTACATGAACGCCCAAGCTTCGTTCGACTTGGCATGAGCAAGATAAGCGGCAGCTTCGGAAAGGACCGGCATTGTTGTTGTCGACTTTGCTTTGTCCTTGTGAGCGATTGTTGTGAGGCAATACTCAGTTCTACGACCATTCCACGCTAACACACTCCATCGCTCCACGCTACCGTGAACGTGGAAACTCCGGGAGACTCTTCACCTGTCATGCTACCGTGGAAGCAGTCATGCAACAGCCGCGTAATACGAAGGGAAAGACCAAATCCATTGAGGTCTTTCACCATCTATCTCATCCATCTCATCCAGATTGACCACGTAGTCTATCTCATCCATCTCATCCACGTAGTCAATCCAGACGTCAACGATAAGCTTAGCCGTTGAGCGAACTATTCTAGGTCGTGATCTCAAGTCATACGTATTAAGCACTTGAAGGATGCGATGAATTATGTCCAAATCACCATGTGAACAGTGATTGTCTAGGTGTATCGCTTGTAAAGCCTCCTCGATATCGCAAAATGCCTGACTTTCCCATCGAATATATTCTTGATATCCACCACCATGCGCTTCCTCTTGATCGCACTCCATTAATTAAGAAAAATCCCTAAACAAAAACCCTATCCCTAATCTTGTGGACCGAGGTGGGAAATCCATTATTACCCCACCTCGGTCCTCGTTCCACCCTACTCTTTTCTCTATAGTAAACCGTTTAAAGACTTAAGGGGAGTGGACCGCCCTTAATTTAAGATTCCCCTTTTTATTTAAGGAACAAATAAAAGAATTAAGTGCGGTTCCCCCTCTCAGTACAGCTGGATCCCACTTCCAATAGCCCCGCGGCGAATGAGCGCTACATACAAGGGTGGACCAGCCGATCCTACAATCATACCCCTTAATCCCCCTTCCTTTTATCGAGCCCAGCGGCGATTGAGCTCCTTAACCAACCGCATTAATAGCTCAGCCCTAGCCTGTAAGCCATAGCCCATAGCCCTGTAGCTCCCTATGCATTTAATAGCTCAGCCTAGCCTGTAGCCATAGCCCATAGCCTGTAGCTCCCTATGCATTTAAGCTCATACCATAAAGCCTAGCCATAGCCATACATGTAGGCATTTAATAGCTCAGCCTAGCCTGTAGCCATAGCCCATAGCCTGTAGCTCCCTATGCATTTATTAGCCTAGCCATACCATAGCCTAGCCATAGCCCATAGCCTGTAGCCATAGCCTAGCTAGCCATAGCCTGTAGCCATAGCCCATAGCCTGTAATGCTCCTATGCAATTATTAGCTAGCAAATAGCCTAGCCATAGCCATAGTCTGTAGCTCCCTATGCATTAATAGTACAGTAGCCTCCATAGCATAGCTCATAGCCATAGTCATGTAGCTCCTTATGCAAATAGCCATAGCCCATAGCCTGTAGCTCCTTATGCAAATAGCCATAGTTATGTAGCCTAGCCTGCGCCAATTTATTCTAGTGTTGCCCCTGCTCGCGCGGGTCAACCATACACGAAAGGTGTTGCAATTCTGCATCCATAATCCAATCTCCCATCACCCCTCTCCATCTGTAACTGAAATAAATAGCATGAATCCCAGAGCTAGACAATGGTCCTTCGTTATTCCATCGTTCACGATCGCCACGATTGACCACCTCTCTAATCTCTCTTCAGATAAAGTAGCCTATATAACCTTCGCGGTTTTGACCAACCCAGCAGGTAACCCCTACCTCCAAGGATACATCAAAACCATCAATCCAGTTCGCAGAACAACACTATCGCTTCTCATCGGCCTAGCCTTCTTCTCTGTATGCGCAACCAAAGACAGTGTAACCAACCAGTTGATGGAAATTCAAAGGAATGATCATCGGGAGATCGGTGACCCAAAGGAAGCAAACGCTAAAGGCCGTCGCGGTGACCTAACAGCTTTCAAAAAACTCCTCAAGTCTAGACAATTGACAATTAAGGAACTCAAAGCCGCGTACCCTAAGCTCTGTTCAAGCCACCCCAATCTCGTTCTAAGCTATTTCAATGAAACTGAGAAGAATCCAAGCAGCACAAACACAACCCAAACCCTAACAGAACACACTGAGTCGGATAAAGACCTCCTTATCCTCGCCCGGTCGTGTGCCAAAGACATAAAGACCCGACATGAACTAAATAAACTCATCAATGAAGCTTGAAGACCTCCCTAAATTTTATTGGTATTGCCGGACAGGAAGGAAGGACTTTTACAACATGCCCAAAGTAGATGCCACAGGCTGCCCTATCAACCGAAAATTCAAATTTAAAATCCAAAGTTAACAGACCCATTATATCGAAAATGTTTTTTGTCTCCGCCCTTGGTGTTTCACTCCTAGATTACTCGAATTTCGTCCAGTTCATACGTCGCGAGTTTGTAACCGAAGCCTTTATAGCTTTCAACCATAGTCGAAACCAATTGCAGATGTGTTTGTTGATCAATCCGGATGAAGAAGTCGACGTCCGAAACTGGCTTCCCAATTACTCAGTCCAAGAATTAGACGACAACGCTGTAGAACTTGACCAGCCCCTCTCCATGGAAAGCTGTATGTGGATATCAATCTCAAACTCAAGTCTAATGCACACGAAGAATCTGAAGAACACTAGGAACCGCCTATGTGAACGCTTAAATCTAACAAGTACTCCTCACTCAGCACTCTTTGAACCTTAAACTTAAGATTAAAATTAAATCACACTTCACTTCCGGATACTCGGAAGCCCATGTTCCGTGTGACGCACTTCCGACTAACTTCCGGATACTCGGAAGCCCATGTTCCGTGTGACGCACTTCCGACTAACTTCCGGATACTCGGAAGCCCATGTTCCGTGTGACGCACTTCCGACTAACTTCCGGATACTCGGAAGCCATGTTCCGTGTGACGCACTTCCGACTAACTTCCGGATACTCGGAAGCCCATGTTCCGTGTGACGCACTTCCGACTAACTAACTTCCGGATACTCGGAAGCCCATGTTCCGTGTGACGCACTTCCGACTAACTTCCGGATACTCGGAACGCATGCAAATGACGCGCGAATGACGCACTTCACTGGTAAGCACTAACATACATGCAAACAGCCCCACTATTTCCAAAGCCTGGTCCAGCAACATCATGACAGCAATACCACACTCTGCCCATTGGAGACTCCTCATCAACAACCGCGGTCAAGACTTAGCGACTATACCGAATTGGTTATCGTATCTCAGCGATGAAGCCTTAGTAGATTGGAGCGCATCCCCCTCAACCGTCACGCCGAATTTGCTAGTTGTGGAAGCCGTTTACGCAGCCGACACATCAATGCCAAACAACGACATCGTGAAAGAGCACAGGCTCGCCAGCGGCGCCATGGTAACCACACTGCTTCATTTCTTTCCCGGTCCACCCCTAGTCAATTAAGTTTTAAGAAATAAAATCCATGTTTCTAGTTTAAATCAACGTAACCATCAACATAAAGACTCGACCACCACTCCGTTGTTTCCACAGGGCACCAAATCTCATCTTCGTTGAGGTTAGCGAACCAATCCGGAATCTGCCTATTAGCTAAAACCGACCACGCCTCTGGGTGCAACTTGAGAAATTTGCGCTGGATCGGATGATCTTTTACCCATTGAACTGGATCCCATGGCCCTTCCTTCAAATCCGTCATGTCCTGTATTAAATACGATCACTGGTCAGATTACAGTTTCCGACACTGGTATGAACGAACAACGCGCGATACGCGTATCCAATCAGATCGCCTGTGCAGTTTCCGCCACTGGTATGAACGAGCGCGCCGGTCCACGATCCAAGATACTCCGTCCTGGCATTAGCTCGACCAATCAGAAGACTCACCGCTAGAGAGTTTGATTCGGAGTACCCCAAACCTGCCGCCTTTTGTAAAACGTTAAGTAAGTTGACCATAACCCGACACCACTGTGGATTCACTGGTGATTAGATTTCATTCAAGAGTGCTGATTCGAAAGTCGTTCTATACACCCGCTTTATGAGGAAAAAGTAGACTGAAGATAGACTTTGATTCGCATACGTTGCAGAGAGATTTATTGCATGAGAAACAGGTGAAGAAAAGAAGGTGCGAAGCTTCTTTTTCCCTTCGAGTGGCTGCTGGTCACAATCTAGTTCGGTGCAACGCAGCGTGGAATGCGCAACATCAAGATCCTGGACGGCAACATGCCAAGTGCGAGGTGCGATCTTTACCGTACCGCCACTGACTACAGAGCTACTGCGGATGGCTAGCTAGCTAGCTAGCTAGCTAGCTAGCTAGCTTGGACTTCACTGGAGATTGGTGGTATCTGAGTTGACTGCTTTAGTTATAAATAGAATGGATCGGAGCGATCTTGCTCCTCTAGCTAGTCTAGCTAGCTAGATAACACATAACAAACTCTCGGTTGGTACTGAGCACATGTACAAGAGCGGAAGGCGAAGCAAGCGGAAAGCATCGCGTCCCTTTTGTGCCGCAAAAAGAATTAAAAACAGCCCGGTCGCCTCTCTAGCTAGTTAACCAAATAGACGACAAATGTTTCTTACGTCCAGCCAACAAGCAGCGAAGAAAGTGCAAGGGCCATTCCAGCAGGCCGAATGGCGGCATCCTCAGTCTCAAAGCAAACAGGCGGAATGGCGGCATCCTTCCTCCCCTTTCCATACCGTACACGTGTAAACCCTCTAGAGGGGCTGTCACTCCGAAGCTCTTTCAAACTGGTATATGTGTGCTTGTTGGCTCCGCCTGGTCTTTTGCCAGTTGCCAGTTGCTTGTTACTGTGATGGCCAACCTTTAAACAGATTGTTGGGCCCTTCCTCCCTGCCGAAAGCAAGATAGCGCCAACACAAAAGCAACTCCTATCGTTTGGGCGAATGGCCTAGGATACTAGGAGAAAACACTGAGTCTCAATCTTAATAAGCTATTTTCAAAACTCTCACTAGAAGCTGCTTCAAATTGTCAACCTTGCAGGGCATTGGCTTCAATACAAAATCATCAGCTCCCGAGTTGATGAACATGTCACGCAAGTCGTTTGCAGACAGTCCACAAATCCTGCTGGATATCCCTTTTGATCTCATGGCCTGGGCTGTTTCAGTTCCCAGCAACTGCTTGTCCGCACTTGCCATGTACTGATCCAGGAAGATTAGATCATACTGCTCTGGTTGCAGCTCCTCACACATTCTCAAAGCAGTCTCTCCACTGGATGCCTCACTGATTTTCCAGCTTGGCATTGCCCTTTTCACTGCACGGGCAAACAGTTTCCTAAGCACCGCATCGTCATCAACGAACAGCACCGAAAGTTCTGCAGGCAGTTCTGGTTGCTCTTGTGGTTGCGCTGGTGGAAGCAGTGGTTCAGAAGTAGGTTGTGGTGCATTGGCTATGGTTGCTGTGGGTGTCTGCGGTTCACAAGGGAGGGTCCCATCAGTTGGTTCTGTCTGAGGGGTCAAACCTTCAAGATGTGCCTTCAGAAACGATTCTGACCGAGTTCCGGAATAAGAAGATCGTAGCTGATTGATATCCCTGGTCTGGGCCGATTCAATGTCAATGGGCGGGCTGTTCAACTGGACAACAAAGCAGGCTCCAGGATATCCATCCACCCCACTGTCGTAATTACTGTCTAGCCACAGATCTCCTCCCATTGTGGCCATAAGCTTTTTTGACAGATTCAGGCCAACTAAGGATCCACACACAAACAACGAAAAAGTGAGTGATGGAGTCCTACACCGGGTGTCTACAGCTATCTTCGTACTTACTGCCAGTCCCTTGACCAATCAAATCGAGGCTGGCGTGGTATTTGGCAAACAGCTCCTTCTGTTGCTCCAGAGGAATCCCTGGACCAGAGTCTTCAACGTACAGTCGTACATGATGGTCCACCACGTCTGCTCTCATCCTCAGAAAGCCCTTCTCCACAAACTTGGATGCATTTCTCACCTTAAGTGCGGCATTCAAAAAAGCATGCGTCAGACAAACCCTTGATTCCTTCAACAACCACATCGAAACGTACGTACCAAATTGAGGACAACTTGCTTGAGTCTAATGCTATCAGTCTTGACCACCAAATTGGCTGGACACTCTACCAGTATATCAAAGCTGGCAACTCTCTTATAAAGTATTGCAGAGACTGGCTCCAGCACATCTTGTAGAACATCCGTTGGGGCCATCGCAATGTTGATCTTATTGCCAGTGGCTTTGTGAATATCTAACATCGACCTTAAGAAATCATTGATGTAGTGGAGGCTGGCGCTGACCACTTCAACATCCTCCCTCACATGCTGTTGTGTTTCCTTGTCTGACATTGGTTCTGGCTCATTGACCGCTGTGGAGACAAAGGAGCAGGCAGATATGGCTGCCGAAAGAGGATTTCTCACCTTGGGAGAAGAAGCAATATATTTTGGGAAGGGTTAGATGAGTAATTTGCTGAGAGTGGAGAAGCTGCAGAAGTCTGCCCACTGCTTCGCTGCACACCTACCTCGTGGGAGAGGAACTCATTGAGCTCCCGTTCAGTGGCCGCTGCCTTTTGGGCATGCTCCAGGACTTTTTCTACCATTGTGTTGTGTCGTTTTTCTACCACATATGAAAATAGAAGGAAGAGGATGGATGCAAAGGAAAACACGACAAGGATCATGCCTGTAAAGGCGGCCGGCTGATTGGTGGTAAAGGGTGCTTCTGTGGCCTCTGAGGGGTATACTCGAATGGTGTACTGTGTCTCATCACTCAATGGCATGGTTGGATAGGCCCTGTTTTGAGGGCTGGCCCTGCTCTTGAGGAAGGTATTGACATCTGCAGATATCGCAAGGTCGGAGTATCGTGGATCATGGAGGTCTCCCATTCCCAGGAAGGTTGCTTTGGGGCCATCGATTTGGTAAGTGAATGTTTGGTTGAAGGACGTGGATTCCACAACACAAATGATGCCATCAGAATTGGAAGGGAGTAGATTGGAGAAGAGGAAATTCCAATAGACACTGGTAGCCAGGATTCCAGTCACTTCTCTGCTGTTGTCATCAAAAGAATCAAAGACTGGGTAGACCACAAAGGTAGAGAGTTCGTTCACGTATTCATCCACATGGTGTCGATATTGTGAGATGCGAAGGTTGGCGGCCCTTCGTTCCACAATCTTGGGTGCCGGAGTGGTGGCAACGCTGAGAATTGGTTTCTTGCTTTGTAGGATTGCCTCCATGAGGCCGTTTTTGAGAACGTGTGTATTGCCAAAGTTTTGGTTGAGCGGACCTTGTTTCTTTTGGCTCACGGGGCTTCTTTGCCACAAGGGCAAGTACGGACCGCCACCTGCTGGTTCGTCACCCGGTGGGGCCACGGCGGCACTGCGCCAGATGAACGGATGATAGCCCGATCCGTCCTCCAAAATGGTGGTGGTTGGTTTTGGCTCCGTTTGGTTGCCACTGTCTTGTAAACGCCGAGATTCCCCCATGCCGAATGCGGCATCTTGCTCATTTCGGTGGTAGGTGTCAGCGGCAAAGGAGCCATCGATATGATGTCGGTTCTCCATGGCATATTCTTCCCATGCAGGCCTCATTGCTTCTGTCACCACAGGAGCATAATGGACAATGTGTGATCCCGACTGAATTCTCAGATGCGATCCCAGCACTTCAAAGTGTGGCACGGTGACAAATGGAAAGCTCAAATTGGCCTGTAGTGCATAGGATGTAATGAGCGATGACATGGTTGCCACCGAGCCAATGTTCCGTTCCACGACCTCATGGAACGAATCAATGACTTGGTGGGCGGCATGTTCAAAGTGATCTGTAAAGTTCTCTGTCTCCGTCTCGGTGGTGTAGCGGTGCACACCAATGGCTAGACCAGTGGCAGTCACTACCAAGACCATCAAGACGGACGCTCGAAGACAGTTAATCACAAACGTCTCTTGTTTCGCGAGGGACTGCGTGACTTCACATGTACAGATATCACCGTCTGCTTGCCGGCAGCCTGGGTGGTGTCGTATCGTAGTAGTATCACCATGTGATGATGCCTGTCGTTGTTGCTGCGATTGAAAAGCCCGTGCGTTGGCGGCGAGACGGCTCATCGAAGCAGCGCTGGTGGCGATCTGCGAGTGCGAGTTTACTTCAGAGTCGGTACTGATGCTCCCGTGCTGCTGATCCTTGTGGGTTGGATAGGGCATACCGGTAGCGATCATTGTGAGACGATGTGGAGGGCACTAACTTTTGGGCTTGTCCATGTGCCGGAGGGTTGAGCAGTTTCGGTATCTGGTAGTTGATGAGCTCCCATCCAAGTCCTCAAGGTTCTACCGTACTAGCTAGCTGGGCTTCCCATTGGCTGCAATCATCATCTGCAACCATGTCGTGTAAAAAAAGCTACTTCAACTTGAAGGAAAACCTATTACTTATTGCATTGGCTGCCTTGTTTAACCATTGGTTTCTCTTACCGAACCACTCAATAGAAAGTGGAAGCCGAACCCACTCCTCCTACAGTCGTACTAGGAGAACCCACGAACCCAACACGGCGAGAGCTCTACGAGTGGTACCGGTGTACCTGAACCGGTTTTAAGGTTAGAGGTTGAAGGCTAGACAGGCGTGGAACGTGGAACGTACTTGTCGAGGCTGACCGGAAATCGTGGACCAAAATGGTTTCGAGCTCAACAATAGATGTAGCTACGGTATCACATCGTATGTAACATATTAAGAAAACTTTGGGACGCTCAGAAAGTACATGTATCCATCAATCACTCGAACGAAGTTGGATAGATCTGAGCCCCACTAAGGTCAAGATTCAGCTCATTGCCGCTTCCAGACCGAGGCAGGTCTTTTCCAGGGTGCGGTCGTAGTATCACCATAGGAACTCACTGAGCAACGAGTGCAGCAACAAGACGCAACGTTAGCCGCATTCCTCTCCATGGATGACAGCTTATACAGGTTCATTGTGAGACGTACCAGCGCGAACCGCGTTCTGAAACATTGGGATCAGATCTTCGCCAAACAACCCCACAGGCGGCATTTCCTCGTACGTTTCGCTGCTGATGCCCATCTCTTCGGCGTATAGCAACGCTTGAAGGATCCACCATAGAAAGTCAGACCATCGCGCATCCTCATTTGAAGAAGTAGCCAAACCATACGACTTCATCGAATCACTGTCGTAAAAGTAAGGACTAGAAAAAAGACAATCCAGGCTGGAGGAAACCCATCACGAGAGTAACCAGCATTCTCACAACCACAGCCACCTGGTTTTCAGAAGCTAAGGCTGGCAGCACCCTTCCTACGCCCAAGTGCACAAGCGAATTGATCATTTCCATGACAAAGTCAGGAATTCACCTGCACCGACAACGCAAGGCAAGCCTTCAGATCCTAAAGCTGGCATTGCAGTCCCCAGTGTAACATCCAGATACCGGCAGAGGTGCGCATAGTGCAATCTTTGCGTCTCCATGCTGCCTCCGCGTACACCTGTCAGCTGCAACGTCGTACCATTATGAACGCCATCCGCAAGAAAGATTGCTGCAGAAACTGCTTTGCAAAACTTCGCATCGAACCCGCCTTCTTCTTCAATGGTGTCATTGTCGGCATCCTTTTCGATCATGTAGAGACCTTGTCCTCGATCAATGACCCCGCACTGAAGATATCCTCAATCCAAGATCTTGTGCAAGGTTGCACGAGCGGTTGGGGCGGCACCTTCCCTTTGAGCAGATCCGAGTGGAAAGGAGTAGTGCAAGCCTGATGTGCCGTACGGCTGTATCATAGTTTGCATAAACGAGCGTTGTGCCCCTTTCGAGGCAGCACATCCTCGAGATGCTGGCTGGTGGTACAGATTCCCCTAGTTCCCGAATTCATGAAGCATGGCTGCCAGGTACGATGCACAGTACCGTGCCAGGTTAGTTAGGATGGTCAGGATGTTTTGGTTATCAACGGAACACATCATGTGCAGCCAGGAAGAAAGTATTGACAATCAGATTTATTCATGAAACTGGCTGGATCGCTCGTCCTCTCGAATCGCTTTGGCTCCTTGGAAAAATAGTTGCTGCTGATGTAGGTTGTTGCGCCTTGCCATGCTTGGCCAGACAAATTCTGCGGCATTCATTGCACGCAGCTACCTAAATCCTTTTGACGAAATCGTCATGGTCGATGCAACAACAGCTCAACAACAATACTGTAGCTGATGACGGTACGAAATAGCAAATGATGGGTGTTTGTAGTTTGTAGAGTGGGAAAGCATCCTTTCGTCTTTTCAAAGCACTCGTGGCTACCAAAGCAAGGTGAACAAGGAGGACACAACCCATAAACAAATGGGGCACGACATTAAAACACGGTGTTAAACAAATGGTGCACGATCCTAAACAAAGTTGGTCGTGACCTGTGACGAAGGGTTGAGCAGTCGTACATCAGCCTGTCACACAACAAACTTGGTGCTGAGCAGTGTTACTTACGAGTGCAGTCATAAGTATGGCCGTAAGCTTACCGATACGGAGTCGTATGTTTGCTTCCTTGCGGCTGTGCACGGAAGGCTCTCAAAAATAAGAGAGCCCCTGAAACGCACGCGGTTGTACTATACGTATAACATTTTCACTATGTATTCTACACATCATACGTATTACACATCTAACCTTTTTAATATGTATTAGGCAAGTCATACGTACAACACAGGTAACACAAGTGGAAAAATATTATACGTATTACATGTATTATGTGTTGTACGTGTTTTATGTATAATACATAGTGACGAATTTTTGCTAAGTTTTTTTGCAGGTGTTTTCTAGGTGTTTGGGAGGCAGAGAGGAAGATGTCACTGTTGCAGGCCATAATACCTGACAGCTTATCAAGTAAAATGGACTCTTACCTATCTGAACTCTCCCATGTTGCTAGATACAATATCAATGATGAAGAATGGACTCCTGCTTCAATCATTGTGAATGTAGCAACCTCACTAACTGATGATACACTAAAGGAGATAAACATTATGGATACTCTGGGGTTCAATAATTATCGAATGGAGAAATCGACGGTGTATTGGCTACCTTCGATGTATCAACAAGGGATTCGATAAGAGGCGGAATCACATTACCATATGTTGTCCAAGGAGTCGTTTTTACAAACAAAGGTCCCAAAAGGAGAGCAACAAAACCACCCAGACTCAGCTTCCTGTTGAGGGGAGGGTGTCAAATGTCCATTCTCTTTCAATGTTCTATATAGCCAGGAACACAGACAATGGTATCTACCCAAGTTCCAGACAGGCAACAAGCTTCATCGTGGCCATGTACAAACTGGAAGAGGCACAAGTGAAATTGTTAAGTACTCATCTTGGCACAGAAGCCGTTACACTAGCGGAACAATGCCTAAAGAACCATCTCTCGCCAAGTGTTGTTAAGGCTTTACTTTATGAACGGACAGGCTCATCTCTAACTTCGAAAACAAAGCGAATCTCTAAGGAAGAGTCTGCATCAAGGAGTGGTCTTGTCTTTGGTGAAGCCAGACGGTACCATCTCTCAAGTATCACATCAGGAGGCGACAGCAGCAGATAGGCTACTTGCCAGATTGCAATCCGATCCAACAAAATCGTTCGTTGTTCTTTTTGCCTCATATGACTCCGGCCTTCTTCGAATCAGACAATCACATAGGGGAGCCACACCTCAGAACATTGATCCTGAAGCACTGACAAATGA